TCTCTCTCTCTCTCTCTCTCTCTCTCTCTCTCTCTCTCTCTCTCTCTCTCTCTTTTCCCTTTCTTTTGGTTTTTCGAAACAGGGTTTCTCTGTATAGCCCTGGCTGTCCTGGAACTCACTTTGTAGACCAGGCTGGCCTTGAACTCAGATCCACCTGCCTCTGCCTCCAAGCACTGGGATTAAAGGTGTGTGCTACCAAGGCCCAGCTTGAAAACGGCATTTTCTGAAGGTCGGAATTCATTGAGTATCTGAGTGTCCTGTCCATTTTGCCACCTCTGTATGGATTTCTAAGCAGCATGGTTGAGTGGCGCCTGTCGTTGAATGTTTAGATGGAGTCTGGTTTTGCTGGTTCAGTCTTCGGCTTCAGTCCCTCGTTGTGGTCTTGTGGTACTAGGCTGTGGTGGTGTGATTGTAGGTGCTCTTCTGGATTTGCCCCAGCTGTGACTCCGACATTTATCCATTCCACAGCTGCTGGATTATGAGTATGTTAGTCAATGTGTGCTGTTAAAACACAAATACCACACAGTGGACAGCTTAAACAAGTGTTCTCACAGTTTGGCAGCTGGAGATTCTAAGGCTGAGACGCTCAAAAGGCCCTGTAACTGGTGAGGGCTCCCTTCCTAGCTGGGATACAGGCTCTTACATGATGTGTCCTCACTTGATCCAGAGCAGGGAGCAAGCAGAATTAAGATTTCTGGGTCTCTTTTGTCTGTAGGTGTGTATGTGCGTGTATGTGCATGTGTGTGCATGTGGAAACGGGAAGTCAACATCCAGGAACTTGACCATTTCTACCTCGGTTTTTGAGTCAAGGTCTTTTCACTGTACATGGAGCTCTTCAGTGTGGCTCGGCTGATGAACTCAAAAGATCCACCATTTTTGTGTGTGAGTGTGTGCACACGCACACACATTCACACACACACACACACACACACACACACACACACACACACACACACACACACACACTGTCTTACCTTCCTAAGTTGAGGTTATAGACACAAGTGGCCATGCCCAGCTTCTTCACCATTGCTGGGGATCTGAGCTCATGACTCACATTTGCACAGCATCTACCCACTGAGCTGTCTCCTCAGGCTCTGTCTCTTGTAAGAACTGTACATTGAGAAAGAGTGTGAATACATGTGCATGCTGATACCCCGTGGCTAGAGTTCTAGGTAGTGCTGCTTGTGTGGATGTTCGTAACTGAACTCTGATCCTTTATAGAAGTGATCTTGACTGCTGAGCCATTTCTCCAGCCCCAGATCTCCACTTCGTAGCCTAATACTTCTTGGAAACATTACTTCTTGTTGCTATCACACTGGGGTTTGGACTTCAGCATATACTGTTGGACACAGACTTTCTACCCTTGTGTGTTCCCAGTTTTTGTTTTGTTTTGTTGTTTTTCGAGACAGGGTTTCTCTGTGTGGTTTTGGTGCCTGTCCTGGATCTCGCTCTGTAGACCAGGCTGGCCTTGAACTCACAGAGATTCCCCTGCCTCTGCCTCCTGAGTGCTGGGATCAAAGTCGTGTGCCACCACTGCCCGGCTCCCCAGTTTTAACTGTTGCCAATACTGTGAAAATCCTTTCATACGTGTTTTGATGTGTGTGACCAGATGCTTATGGAATCAGATTACAAATGATGGCTTGTAGCATGGTTTTATTCTAAATTTTTTTTATGTGTTTAGCGTGTGTGTGTGTGTGTGTGTGTGTGTGTGTGTGTGTGTGTGTGTGTGTGTGTGTATTTGGAGGTCAGAGGGCAATTTGTTAGGAGTTGGTTCTCCTACTCTATGGGTTCCAGGGATCAAACTGAGGTCATCGAGCTTGATGGCAAGTGCCTTTACCCCTTGAGTTATCTCACTGACCCCAGCCTTTACTTGTTTAAAATGCCAACAACAAATTTTATTTTTCTGTAATTTTATTAATCATTACTAATCTCATGCATCTTAAAATAACTCCCATGTTAATTGTCTAATGTAAGTACATACAGTTAAAAGTTAGATGGTGTTGATACACTACTCATAGACTGCTAAACCCTCCTCAGTGGGCTTCCTCCAGCGTCCTCTTTCTGTTGTGTGTAGTGTCTCCTTTGACAGGAGCCAGACTTAACAGCAGCCTCCAGTGTGTGGGGCTTACAGTTAGGTGTGCCTGCCTCTTAGCCTTACAGCGTCCATTCAGTACACTTGTCCAAGTGATTACTGCTCTTGGAGTCTGACTCTTTCACTTTGAAAAATTCATTTAAACTCATTTAAAAGGTTACATGAGCCAATAGTTCATTTTATTTTAGCAGATGAACCTCACATAGCATGAAATTATCCATTTCGGAGTAAGTGGCGAGTGAGCACACATTGTGTGACCAGTTCTCGTCTGGTTCTCAAAACCTCTTACCCCCAAATGAAAGCCCATGCTGGTTCAGCTGTTCCTCCCCGTCTTTCCCTTCCAGCCACCACTCTTGCAGCCTCCATTTCTGTTGTTACAGATTTATCTGCTTGGGGCAATTTGGATGCACAGCATCACACACTGTGGGCCCTTTATGGCTTCTTTCACTTACCGCTGTTTTCAAGCCTCGTGCATGTCAGCATCTATCAGTACTTTGTTTCTATCTATTTTAAAATTTTTATTAGATTTTATGATGAGTGTGTGGTGCAAAGGTCAGAACTTGCAGGAGTCAATTATTTCTTTCTTCCATGTGGGTCCCGGGGATGGACCAAAGTCTCCAGGCTTGCAGGACAAGCACCTTTACCCACTGAACCAAATCACCAGCCCCATTTCTGTTTTTTAAGCCATGGTAAAATATATCTAACCTGAAGTTGCCATTTAGCTGGGCGGTGGTGGCCCACACATTTAATCCCAGCAGCCGGGAGGGCAGAGATCAGTGAATCTGAGTTCTAGGCCAGCCTAGTGTGCAGAGTTCCAGGACAACCAGGGCTACACAGAGAAACCCTGTCTCAAGAAACCAAAGTAAGTAAAAACAAAGTTGCCATTTAATCATGTGTAAACCTGAATGCAGTTACAGTCATTAAATACATGTGCTGTATTCTGCCGATCACTGTTTCCAAAGCTTTGTCGCCCTAAACAAACCCTCTGCCTGTTGAGTAGTGATGCCCGTTTCTCACTCTGCCAGCCCTTGATAACTTCTGGCTTAAACTTCTAGTTTACCTCCTGTCTTTATGAATTTGCCTCTTCGAGATAATATAGTTTGTTTTGTTTTTTTGAGACCAGGTCTCTTGTAGCCTGGGATAGCCTTGAATTTGCTGTGTAGCAGAGGTTGGCCTTGAATTCCTGATCCTCTCGGATACTGGGATTACAGGCATGCATCACCGGATCTACTGTGTCTAATGTATTTCACTAAGGTTGTCTGTGGTAGCTGTACCAGAATTTCATCCTTGCTGGGCCTGACGGCACAGGCCAGTAATCTGCCTACTCAGGAGCTCAAAACAGGAGGATTTCCATTGCAAACCCAGCCAGGGTAACTTCGTAATACACTATCTTAATTTTCTTTAAGGGGGCTGTGAATAACACCTCAGTGGTAGTTTTTGTATAGTATGTGTCGTAGGGTTTTATTGCTGTGACGAGACCATGACCATGGCATCTCTTGCAAAGGAAGACATCTAATGGTGCTGGTTTACATTTCAGAGGTTTAGTCCATTATGACAGGAAGCATGGCTGAGTGCAGGCAGACATGATGCTGGAGAGGTAGCTAAGAGTCCTATATCTGCATCCACAGGCAGCGGAAGTGTCACAGTAGATTTGACTTGAGCATTTGAGACCACAAAGCCACACCCACTCCAGCAAAGCCACACCTCCTAATAGTGCTGTGGGCCTATGGGGCCATTATTATTATTTTTGTTTTTGTTTTTGTTTTTTTTTCAAGACAAGGTTTCTCTGTGTAGCTTTGCTCCTTTCCTGGAACTCGCTTTGTAGACCAGGCTGGCCTCGAACTCACAGAGATCCACCTGCCTCTGCCTCCCGAGTGCTGGGATTAAAGGCGTGCGCCACCACCATCTGGCAGGAACCATTTTTATTCAAACCACCACAGTATGCTTCAGGTCCTGCATCCAATACTGCAACAAAGAACTTACTCCTCCTTGGGGCAATGCTCTTTTGAATGGATTTGGATGCACCACATTTATTCCTTGTCTGTTGATGGATACTTGTGTTTGGGGATGCTGCCATGAGCTCTGGAGTTTGATTCCCCTCTGTAGTGTACCTGCCATAGGTGGCTCCTGGTCTAGAGTGTGTATGTGGAAGCGGAATCGCTCTGTCCTGTAGTACACAACTCTAGCTTTGCTGGCTGCTGGTGAGCCGAATTCCAAATGGTTAGATCACAGTCTTGACAACACTTGAATTTACCAGATTTCTAAATGTTCCCTTTTGATGAGTGTGTTTTATTGTGAATTTAATTTTATTGTGTGTTTCCTCATAGGGATTGAACACAGTTTTTACATGTTTATAAGCTATTTGTAACATACTTATTAACTTCCTATTAGTGGTTTGCCTTTTTCTGAATTAGTGTTGCCAAAATTGTCTCCAAATAATGCTTGCTCTTGGTATTTCTGCAGAACAAATAGTGGAGAAAGATGAAGGCCCATATTACACTCACCTGGGATCTGGCCCCACAGTAGCCTCTATCCGGGAACTCATGGAGGAGCGGTGAGTGACACCAACATTCAGGGACAATGGGCCTATCGGGTGGAACGTGGACTCTGAGCACCTGAGTCAGGGCTGTGCTAGGAGGCACTAGGGAGAAGCCCAGGATCTGGGTGGTGGCAGGTTCAGTGTGGGCATCTCACTTCTGTCCTGGTTTCGTTCCATCTGTAGATATGCCCTCCATATGCCCCGACCCCTTCTCTTGTTCTGGAAAAACACAGCTAGGTGGTATTCCGTCTGCGGAGTTAGTTCCCTACAGCCTGCTGTTCTTGGATAGCTTTCTACAGTGTTGCTTACCGTGCTCCGTGTGCTCTGGACGTCCTGCTAAGAGGTACTTCGAGCTCAAGTTCCAACCAGGTGGCTCTTCTTGCTTTGATTTCTGACCTCCACCAAAATTACTTCATAAGTGGGGTCCATCCTGATTTTTCCCATATGAGATGTTCTGGCTTCATGTTGCACATTTATCCAAGGGGTCCTGAAAGACTCTGGGGTGCTTGGGGTCAGGGTGCGTATTGCTACAAAAGTAGCTCAGGCTGTCCTAAAACCCACTATGTAGACCAGGCCGTCTTCAAACTCAAGAGATCCATCTACTTCTGCTTTCTGAGTGCTGAGATTAGAGGCGAGCACCACCGTGCCTGGCTCACAAAGAGCCTTTAAAGTCTGTGCACAGCCACGGCAGATAACAGTACTGAGTTGCTGTCTCAAGGGTGATGTAGCTCTGTGGTTAAGAGCATGGATGCTCACTACCTGCGTCCCATCCTGATACTGTACGTGCTCCTGAGTCCCCTTGGGGCAGTTGTGTGCCTTGGTTTTCTTTTCTACAAGACAGAGATAGCACAAGGACACGCTGTAGGAATGCTAGAGACATAGACTGAGACATAGACTGGCATAAAGACTGAAGTGTGGGTTCAGAAAAGGGTGCACAGTCTGTGTGTGTGTGTGTGTGTGTGTGTGTGTGTGTGTGTGTGTGTGTGTGTGTGTGTGTGTGTGTGTGTGTGTGTGTGTGTACACAGTGGTATTTTCAAAACCACTCATTAGAATTTTAAGTAAAACAAAAGTAAAGGCGATCTACATTTGCTGGTGCACATGCATACCGTTTCATGGAAGCCTTAGTGGCTTAGTTTCTACAAGCCTGGGAGCCAAGTCTTCTGGGCCGAGGGGAGCTGGGCTAAGCCCGTCAGTGCAGCAGGGGAATGGGATGGAGAATGGATCTACTGTAAGCTGAGCTGGATGGAGGTCACTGATCTACAGGGATCATTTCCTATGCTATCTGAAAACATTTCTGTTCAAAATAGCCATCAGAAAAGCCCGCTGTAAATGCAGTCCTGATTTAAAGGGCCCCACCTGAGCCCAGGACAGTAGACTTAGATCCATGTGTCTGTATGTCCTCACTGTGGGCCTCCTCGGGTGCCTGCCACAGCTTGCAGACTGTACCAGGCCACATTTGGATAGTGACTTTTTATTGTTTTGCTGCTGCTGCTGCTGCTGCTGTTGTTGACACAGTTTTCAACAGCCTAGGCAGACCTTAAGCTTTCTGTGTATCTGACACTGGCCTTGATGTTCTGATTCTCCTGCCTCCGTCTCTCAAGTGTTGGGGTCTGGTCCACCACTCCAGGCTTGACCGGTGGCTCCGGTAAGGGATTGCAATGCTTTATTTGCTCAAGTTTGAGCTGGGAGAGTGTGTGGTGTTAGTTTCAGTCTGATTTGGTTGTACTCCTTTGGAGGGGGTGTTGTTAATAATCTTAGATGGTTTCCAGACAGCTCTCTAGGTCTAAGTGACTTTTAATTATAGCAGAGCACATTCTGAAGGAAGAATCTGGAGGGAGTGATGGATTGAGATTATGCTTTTTCCCTCCCTGCTTTAAAAATAACAGCCACCTATAGATTCTTCAGAAAGCGATCCAAGGGAGGAACCCCTCGGAGAGCTAGGAATGTTTGTGTTTTCCCTTGGCAACTGGCTTGTTTCTACCATAAGGACCCCGTGAGTCATGGAGCAGGCTGTGTCTCCATATTCATCCTGGCTGCCAGTGAGTCGAGAGCCAGGTCCGCTTACCCCACCCTGGGAAGAATGTGAGGGTCACCTTTGGTGGTGGGAGTCTGCTTAGGCCACCCCTGAATCTTGATGACACAACCCTATGAATCGCTCTTAATGTTTTGATTTCTCATGTGATAAATTATTCAGGGCACAGCTCCTAAAAACACACACAACCTGTGATCACATTTTGTATAGCAGCTCATCTTTCCCTCTCTTCACTGAGTTTATCTTATGGATGTCTTCTTCTTCTGGGACAAGGAGGGAAGCAGTTGAGTGATGGATTTCTTGTGTGGATGTTGAGTTTGTGACTTGTCCCAACTGACTTGGGACCTGTCTCTCTTCACTTTTTCTTGGTAGGATGACTGTATTGTCAGGGCTTGGCCAGAGTCAGGGAGCAGGCGTATACTAACACCCAGAAGATTTTGAGGGCTGGAGAGATGGCTCAGTGGCTAAGAGCACTGGCTGCTCTTTCAGAGGTCCTGAGTTCAATTCCCAGCAACCACTTGGGTGGCTCACAACCATCTGTAATGAGATCTGGTGCCCTCTTCTGGCCTGCAGGCATACATGCAGGCAGAACACTGTATACATGATAAATAAATAGATAAATCTTAAAATGTTAAAAAAAATTTTTTTGATGCTTTTAGCTATTTGTAGGGCACAAAACTGGAGGAGGGGGCGGAGTTGAAAGCAAATCCTAAAATATCCCATTGTATTTGTGGGCATCATACCTACTGGATACCCAGGTCCTGGTGTTGGTAGATAATTGGAGTCAGCTGTCAAGCTCCAGTCTGTAGGTGGCCCACTATCCAGAGCCTTGACTTCTATCAGGGGAAGGTCCTCTGCAGCCGGGTGCCACAGAGAGCGAGCCTGTGATGCTCATGGGTGCTCTGAGCTGGGGAAGACTGATCTCACTGCTATGCTAGAACAAACCCTGGGGAAGTCCAAAGCTGCCGAGGGCCTGGGAAAGCATGGGCAGGGCGCTGGGGTCCACCCAAGAACTACCTACCGGCTCCCAGTGAGTTCTGCTGAGGACCCCGGGTCCACCCTTCAAGAACCATAGGCCAAGTTGTCAGGTGTCCTCAGATGCTTCATCTGATCCTTGCCGACTCCCTTAGAGGCTGGTAATCTGCACTCTTCATGGTAAGCCAGGAAGTAAGACATTTAAAGAGAGAGAAGTGAAGCAGAAGTCAGTTATCAAGTTCTGTTCTGAGAAGAAACGGGGCCGGCAAATGGCTGAGGGGGTAAAGGCACAGTCTGGGTGTAAACATAAAGCCCTCAGGGTACAGAGAGAAGCTGACTCCCACAAGTTGTCTTCTAACCCCACACAGACACCATGGCATGCCCCTACCCCCAAATGTTTTTAAATTAAAAAAAAAAAGTTTAAGTTTATATGCATTGGTGTTTTGCCTACATGTGTATCTGTATGAGGGTGTCCATCGAGTCCCCTGGAACTGGAGTTACAGACATTGTGAGCTGCCATGTGGGTGCTTAGAATTGAACTTGGGTCCTCTGGAAGAACAGCCGGTGCTCTTAACCACTGAGCCGTTTCTTCAGGCCCCTTTATAACCTCTTTTTCTGGTTTTTGTTTTTCGAGATGGTTTCTCTATGTAACAGCTCTGGCTGTCCTGGAACTCACTCTGTAGACTAGGCTGGTCTTGAACTCAAAGATCCGCCTGCCTCTGCCTCCCGAGTGCTGCAATTAAAGGCGTGTGCCACCACCACTTGGCTTTGAATTTTGTTTAAAGGAACAACAACAAAAAAATGTAGCTGGTTAGGCAGCCCACCCCCCCACCCCCCGCCCCTGCTCTTTTTTTTTTTTTTCCTCCAATGAGAACTTGAGTCGCTTTCTCACAAGGACAGGACTGTGGGGAAGGAGCTGGTCAGAAAGCCAGCCCCATGTCCTCAGCTCACCCTCCTGTGGGGAATATGATAGTCCCTCTCAGTGAGAGCGCTGTGGCGGCCTTATGCTCGTCTCCTGACAGGGATCCCTAGACAGACCTGGGTCCCAGGCCTGCCCTTGGGGGCCGTGTCCTGATAAGCCCGTGGAGCTGAGACCTGTCCAGGCGCCAAACAAAAGCAGCGCTGTCAGCCCCGCTGCGGAGATGCCCAGTGGTGTCTGCAAGCACTTCCTATAAGGCCCTGGCAGCCCTTGCCTGTTAGTGTGCTCAGGAACGCTTCTCGCCCTCCCCTAAGATCTGAGTGAGATAGACAACTTAACTTAGTTCAGTGTTTGAAAAGAAACTCTGTTCCTTTTCAGTGAGGGAGATGCAACAAGGAGGGTTTTTTAAAAACGACATCTAAGTATTGGCAGGGCATGGTACATGCCTGTAATCCCAGCCCTGAAGAATCTAAGGTCACGAGGACTGCGAGTTCCTAGACCAGACTCTCTCTGTCTCTCTGTCTCTCTCTCTCCATCCATCCATCCCTCAGTGCAGAGTAAGGAAGGCACCTTGGCCACTGATTTTTTTCCACAAGACACTTGGTTAAAGGCAAGATACACATAGGTATATAGAGAAAATGTAGACCAAGAGGGACTAATCATGCCAACCTCTGTACCACCGAGCTGCATGTAAGACCAGTGCCCTTGTCCACTTGGTCCTGGGGTAGAGGGATGCATGGCAGCGGAGCAGATGATATGAAGAACAGGGTATCTCAGAGCTGCAGACATCAGGAGAGCATCATGCCTTATTAAATGACGTACTTAAATGTTGTGATCAAACTGAATTTACTACAGAATACAGGTTGTTCTTACTCAGTCTGTTGAAAAAGCCTGCCCATGTTGGCACCTGAGAGATGGCTTAGCAAGGTGCCTGCTCTGGAGTCACAAGGACCAGAGTTTGGGTCCCAGCTCCTACAGAGCAAGCCAGTCTTCCTGCAAAAGCTTATAATTCTAGCTCTAAGGGATCTGATGCCCTCTCTGACTTCCATAGTCTCTCGGGTACACACACAAACACACACACACACACACACACAGAATAAATCAGTCTTAAAAAATACCATGTTAATTGATTAGAGAAACTGCTTCAGTCATCTGTCTCTCTAGATGTTAAAAATGCATTTGCTAAGTTAATTGATGCTGAGCTAAAGGTCCTAGATCCTAAAGGGACATCCTCAGCATACCCTTCAGTGAAGAGAAGTCTTTGTCTGAGCTCCAGCCAACTTCATACAGAGAGATGGCTGGAAACACTCTCGGAGAAGTCCAGAATGAGCAAAGATGCCCATATCACGTCAGGAGCTCTGTCAGTACAGACAGACTGCAAGAGTGTGCAGGCCAGGATGGCAAGTGACCCTGCAGACGATACTGAACATCTACTAAAAAGATGGCTTTTATGTTGAAGAGGTTTACTGAATTCCTCCCTCACGCTAAGATCCTTGACATGCATTATCAAGCCTGGGAGGTAGAGCTATCTTAACGTCCAGTTCACGTATGAGAAGACTGAGGCCTGACAAGCTCAGTAACTTAGCTACAATTATGTAGTGAGAGAGTGGCAGTCTGACCACTGGGCTGTGTTGGAACCAGCCTTGCCCCGTGTAGTTGCGTGATACATGCTTATGGTTGTGTCTGTCTATTGTGAACATGGTGTGGTTGAGTAGATGGTGTCAGCGGCCTTTGGCATGGGCTCCCAGGAAGTGGGCACATGCGGGGGGGGGGGGGAGCGGGGGGGTGACGACTTTGTCCACCGTATGCCAGCATTTGTGTTTGGCAGGGTCACGCCCCCAGCATCAGCTGGGATGGCTCCGAGAGACCAATGAGCCCCCCCAACACATACAGTTGGTTCGTGTGTATGTTTGTTTGTTTGTTTTGGTTTTTTCGAGCCAGGGTTTCTCTGTGTAGCTTTGCGCCTTTCATGGAACTCACTTGGTAGCCCAGGCTGGCCTTGAACTCACAGAGATCCACCTGGCTCTGCCTCCCCAGTGCTGGGAATAAAGGCATGCGCCACCACCGCCCAGCTGTATGTTTCGTTTATAAACAGTTAACTCGGGAGGCCTTGGCCAGCAGGGCTGCGTGCAGAGGCCAGTGGGTTCAGGCAACTCCAAGGGTCAGAAGGAGTCGGAATCGGGCTGTTCTGCCCAGCTGTCCATCTGCCTGAGGACAGAGATGCGTTGGACAGGAGAAGAGGGGTGGCGGGTGAACCACGGCCTGGGAACCCGGGTGTAGGCACTGTGTCTCCTGTCCTCGGAGCAGAGTGGCCAGTGTCCACCTCTTCCCTTCTCTGCCTGAGCAGCAGCCAGAAGCCTGGGCTAAAGCACCTGGGCCCTGCCTCCTCACATTGCATACCCCCTGTGAATTCACCCGCTGGCGGGGCTTCTGTCTCCTCTCTAGGTATGGAGAAAAGGGGAAAGCTATCCGGATCGAGAAGGTCATCTACACGGGGAAGGAAGGGAAGAGTTCTCGAGGCTGTCCCATTGCCAAGTGGGTGAGTGTTGGGTCTCCACAGCTGAGCTGTGCCTGGGTGTTCCTGTCCACTGAGCCCAGTGGCCAGTGAGTAGGAAATAGACATTTACCATCGAGGAACGACCCTCATGGCAGCTGATCTTTGTCCTGCTTACAGGCCAGCACCAGGGACCCTCTGCTCTCAGGAGCTGTTAGTCTTTACACTCAGTGTGTGTGACCTATGGGGAAGGCTGTGGACTTGGGAAGAGAGGAGCTGGAGATGCTGCTGGCCTGGCCCACTATTGGATCCCACCTCCCACCCCACCCCAAGGATTTTGACTCCTCTTTTCTGTGTGTCTGAGTGGCCAATACTACTCCTGTCCCCTGTCTGGAAGCCAGGGAAGACACTGTAGGCTGACCTATGTGAGCCAAGCTGAGGTACAAGATGAGGCCTCTGCATAGTGGTGTTATGAGGCTTGCTTCGCCCTAGCCTCTAAGCAGGGATCCTGGGCATCTTGTCAGGGAGAATGTCACAGACACAGACCCCAGTTCACTCAGCCTTGCCCTTCTGGCCTTCACACAGCTCTTGAAATCGTGGGTGTCTGTTGCTACAGAGCTGGCTTAGAATGAACTGAGCTCTGGGTAGCTGGTCCATGTGGAAAACACCGTCTCCATGTTCAGTGCCTTAGACACCCTGGAGGCAAGGTAACAGAAACCTGGAAATGCAAGGTTTAACCAAGAGCCGGCTGTGATGTAGGAGTTGAGGGACGGGGCCAGATAAATGTTGACGCTGGGCTAGCCTGGAACACAGACATGAACAGGGCCACAAGTATTAAGTGGCCCAAGGAGTGAGGAAAAGCATTTCCGGTGAGGAGGGTCCACATGCAAAGGCAGAAAGGCTGCAGGAATGTTTGTGTGGCCGACTCGGATGTCGCCTGTGCCTCAGCATCTTTTCCCTGGGATCACTCCTTGCCTCTGCATTTAATGAAAATAACAGATGTCTGAACTTAAATCGCCACATACTTGTTTTCAGCACTTTTAGGCTTTATTGTAGGACTTTTCACAACAAAAGAACTTGGTGCTTAAGTGTGAAGAAGCATATTGTCTCTACCCCCATGGGAGGTAACCCTTGTAGTTAAAGGTCTAATGTGATAGGGTGGTGCCTACCTCTTCAGAGACCTCACCTGTTAAGTGATGTCCGCCATAGAGGGACACTGAGGAGAGCTTGACCATAAGGCCCGGAGAACCCTGGTCCAGGGACCACTGTCAAATCAGCATCCTGCAGATACATGTCAGTGCCCACAATGGACCTCCCGTAACCCGCCAGGAGCCAGGCAACCGTAGAGTCCTGAAGCAACATTTGGCCCAGTACCTGGTTTGTGTGCTCCTGAATTCCAAGACACAATTTTAAAAATGATAGTTGATTGTTGGCAGGGAAGTGGAGGATGACATCATTAGGACTCTGCCTTAGACCAAGACCTCATGATCAGGGCTGCATGTCATTTAGTATGCCAAATGCAGAATATTCTGTAAGGTCTGCAGGAAGTCGTGACACGTGCTACAACAAACAGAACACCCTGAGAGCACTGCCAGTTGTCAAAGGATAGATTGCATAGGATTTCACATGCAAGAGCTACTTCAGTCAGATTCCAGAGAGAGAGAGCACAATGCTGAAGGACTGGGCATATGCCTTAGTAATAGAGTTCCTGCCTAGGATGTACAAGGCCTTAGGGACAATTCTCAGCGCAACCAAAAAAAAAAAAAATCGTGGGGTTGACAAGATGGCTCAGTGGGTAAAGACCCTTGCACATAGGCCTGTGATGTGCATTCCATCCTTTGGTCTTAATAGGTGATGGGAGAGAACTGGCTCCTACGTTATCCTTTGGCCTGCATGGGCGGGCACAGACACACTAAATGAATGTTTTGTTGTTTTGGGTTTTTTCTTTTTGTTTTGTTTTGTTTTGTTTTTTTGGTTTTTCGAGACCAAATTTCTCTGTGTAGCCTTATGACTTTCCTGGAACTCACTCTGTAGCCCAAGTTGGCCTCGAACTTAACATTTTTTTTAATAAAAAAAAAAAAGTAGAAAGGTGATCTGGGGTTGGGAGCGTTAGAAGGGAAGAGTTGGAGCATTACTGTTGAAGGAATGAAGTTGTAGCTTTATTGAGAGTAGAAGTTCTAGAAATGGTAGCCATGTAACACGGTGAATGAGCCACTTTAAAGCCACTAAAATGTACGCTAAATGTGGTAGATTTCCTGTTATGTGTAGTTACCATGGTAACAAAGTATGGTACTTACGGCTTTAAAGGGGGAGTTTGAGGGCTAGTGAGATGGGTTAGGAGTTTTACCACACTTCCAGGGGATCCAGTGCCACTTCTGGCCTCTGGTGGCTCTGTGCTCACATGGTTCACGGAAACTCATGTGCATGTGTTTGTGTGTATTCATAAGTACTTAAATGAAGAAAATGCTTAGTTTTTGGCAAAGTACAATGGTGCACGCCTTTAATCCCAGCATCTAGAAGGCAGAGTCAGGCAGATCTGTGTGGTTAAGGAGAGCGTCCCAGCTTTCAGTGAATAGATGTCCCCACTAAGCCATGACTGGGACAGGCCCCTTTTCCTTCTTAGTACTGCCCTACCCAGCCACTCATTTCTGTGAAACCTACACAGGGTCAGTGGCAGATGTGACTACATCTGTCTGCCGGCCAGGCCCTTCCCTGACCTTCACACTCACAGAACTGTGGGCTATACATTGATTCTATACATAGCTTTGTAAGGAACCTCAGACTGTTTTCCACAGTGCTGTACCACGAGTGAAAACACACAGAGATGGGCAGCACTTTCTCTGCAGATGCTCTGGGATATCATGAAACTCTTCACTGTATTTCTGGCTCACAGTTTCATTTATTTTTACTTTGAGGTTTGTGTTTGTCACAAAATGTTTTTTTTGTTGTTGTTGTTGTTGCTGTTTTGTTTTTTATATTTTTCGAGTCAGGCTGTCCCCAGGCTGGCCTCAAACTCAGAGATCCACCTGCTTCTGCCTCCCGAGTGCTAGGATTAAAGGCATGCACCACCACCACCACCACCACCACCACCACCCCCCGCCCCCCGATGGTCACGATTGTCTTAGACTTTGTCATAATTAGTTTTTAATTTGCTGTTTTAAAATTTTGTGTTTCTTTTTCCCTAATGGTAGTGTCCTAAAGACCCCCAGTGCCTGGTCTGTGGGGTAGTGAGGGGCACGTTCCATGCAGGGTTGTGTGGCTCTTTCAGGGTAATAGCTCGGTCCTGTATCTCTGCAGATCATCCGAAGACACACAGTGGAGGAGAAGCTCCTCTGCCTGGTGCGGCATCGGGCGGGCCACCATTGTGAGAACGCCGTGATTATCATCTTGATCCTGGCCTGGGAGGGTATCCCTCGCAGCCTTGGAGACACCCTTTACCAGGAGCTCACTGATACCCTCCGGAAGTATGGAAACCCCACCAGCCGGAGATGTGGCCTCAATGATGAGTATGTGTGGGAGTCCTAGTGGGAGGGTGATGGGGCCCCAGGACCCTGGGTGGCAGGCACTGGAATGCTGGGCAGCCCTGGGTTCTGGCCCCAGATCAACATTAACCTTCCTGATTGGATTTTCCTATCCTTTCATTGGGATGTTTTAGTTTCAGTAAAGTTATCCTTTAGATATAGTTTGGAGGGTTTTGTTTTATTTTTGATGAGACAAAGTCTTGCTATTGTAGCCTTGGCTGGCCTGTAGACTAGGCTAGCCTTGAACTCAGGGAGATCTGCCTGCCTCTGGAGGATTAAAGGTGTACTCCACTACTCCCAGCAGTTGGGAGGATTTTAGTAGATATCTATAGTCATGTAGCCCAGTCAAGATTGAGAATAGGGGTCCACGAGAAGACTCGGTGAGTAAAGGCAATCGCCACCAGCCTGCCGACCTGAGTTCATTCCCCATACACGGTAGAAGGAGAGAGTGACTCCGGCAGGTTGTCCTTTGATGCCCACACATACACGTGTGTCTGCATGTGCAAGCACACGTGACTCCCCCGTGCCCTTCACCGACAGCCCTTCCCTCGGCCGCCATGTCTTTCCTGTCTCTTGAAGTTTGCCTCTTCAAGAATGTCGTCACCGATAGACTCGTACCTCATATAGCCTTCTGAACAGACATGGTTCACCAAGCATGAGTGTTCAGAGAATAATAACCTGTGGTGGGAAACTTGGAAGAGCTGTGGGGCGGAAGGAGGAGGCCTTGTCACCAGGGGCTAGTGGGTGCCAGTCCTCCGCAGGGAGCAGGGCAGTGTCAACAGAGATCACATCTGTCTGCCTGGCCTGTGTTGTGCATTGCAGCCGGACCTGCGCCTGCCAAGGCAAAGACCCCAACACCTGCGGTGCCTCCTTCTCCTTCGGCTGTTCCTGGAGCATGTACTTCAACGGCTGCAAGTACGCCCGCAGCAAGACACCACGCAAGTTCCGCCTCACGGGGGACAACCCCAAGGAGGTGAGCCAGCAGCGCCACCGTGCGGGGAGCAGGCCCTCCTCACGCTCCCCACCTGCACCCCGATCGCTGTGCAGAGAGGGGACTGACGGGCCACCACACAGATGGGCAGGAAGTGCGTCTTGCTTGACTTGGGGTTTTGCAGTGGCCTTACCCCGCTGAGAAAGTTGGTTAGTGGGTGGTGTGAAAATGGAGGACTTCTAGGGACAGTCCCCCGGACTCCTGCCACTTACACGGCAGCCTTAGAGAAATTATTCTGAACACTTCCAATGCAAATGGCAGATCTTTCATCTGAATGTGATCTGGTCATTTCTTCGTGGGACATCTTTTAGGGTGTAGGAATTATAGGAGGAAGGAGGACCTTTCTGTGGATGACTCTCTGAATCATTAATGGGCTTGGTGAGGTATCCCATCCCCCACTGGGCTGAGCAGACATTTTGGGCATTCATGCAGACATCTAGGCCCTTCTTGTCTCCTTGCTGGGGGCCTGTCCTGGTGCACTGGGTGGTGGCCCACACATAAAGTCACAGGGTTATAGTGAGGCCTCTCCATGACTTCTCACCGTGGTCTCCCTCCCAGGACCTTTGTCTTATCCCTGTCACAACAGAACCAGGGCCTCTGGGTATCTCCTGCAGCTTCCACCAAGGGTGGAGGATCTGGGAGTGTCCGCTGAGGCCATTTCTCCACTGCTGTTTTTTCTGTGCTCCGGGCTGCAGTGGCCTTGGCAAGAGGCGGTCTCCGAATGAGCACACCGTCTTCCTCTCTGCTCCCCGGCCTTCTGCTTGCGCTCCTATGGGGTGGGGGGTGAGTCGGGGGGGGGGGCGGTCCCTCTGTTGGAGTACAAGCGGCCATCCTGATGCCAGTCTTCCAGAGCTTGAAGATCCTAGTACCAGAAGGGCTTCTCACTCCCCTGAGGACAAGGACATCCACTGGGTACCTCTTCTGTGCTCCAGAGCCCATGTAAACATCTTCCTGGCTTTGATCTTCATAAGTAAAATGAACCGTTTTTAGGGATTAGAGAGATGGTCAAGAGCACTACTCTTCCAAATGACCTTTGTTCATGGCCCAGCACCCACATTGTGGCTCACAGGCATCTGTAACTCCAGCTTCTGGGGAACTGACACCCTCTCCTGGCTTCTGCAGGCACCTGCACATACCATACCATAAACCTATACCATAAACACACAGACACATGTATGAATCTTATTTTCTTCTCCAAATTCAGAACCTTTTCTCCCAAAACTTTTAGACAACTTTGTAAGCTTAAAATACTCTAACTTGTTAGTTCTCATTTGTAAGCTGGGACCCCCCCCCCTTCTTCTGAAGGGGCAAACGTGGCTGCTTCGGTAGCTTGAAGAGTTCTGGGGCCTAAGACTCGTCAGGAATAGAAAGACAGAGGCTTAGTTTCCCCAAGAGCCGTCCCTGGCTCGGTCGCTCACCGTGTCCTGAGCACTTGCTGTGTGTGAGCTGGGTTCACACACACCTGTGGTCCCAGGACCACCCATTTACCCAGGCACTTCACAGACAGGAGAGTGACTTGCTCAGACCTCTGTGTGGTTCATGGTGAAGGAGGTAGGCTTCCTCCCCAGCCAGGCCTGTGCTGCCCCAGCTTGCCTTGGAGCTGTGTTACTTTGGACCCATTTTGCTGGTGGCAGCAGCCAGATAGCAGCCAGAGCAGCGGCCAGGCCCTGACGCAGATTTGCATTGGATGCATTGACTGATGACTACGCTCTGCTCTCCGCTTCTCTCTGTGCAGTGTGCTGGCTGGCACTCCCTTCGTAAATGCTCCCTGTTCCTGCTCATGGCCTCAAGTGCCTGCAAGCCCCAATGGCTGAGGTCAGAGCGGCCACAGAAACACTGCCGCTGTGCTGCGTGTCAGGGAGTGAGTGGCCACCCCTGGGGATGAGCAGTCATCCTGCAGACCGTCCTTGATGCCACAGACGTTTTTGCTGTGTAGTACAGGGACCACATGGCGCCACTGAGGGACCCGGTCCATCGCTAACTTGAATTTCTGAAGGCTGTAGCAGCCAGATGTTTGGATTTGTTTGTCTAACACCTGGCTGGTGGCAGGCTCTGGGCCAGGCCGGCTGTGAGTCTCCAGCACGGTCCTGTTAGCTTCCACTTTCTTTAACATGGGAACAAGCATCCACACTTGTGACCCACAGTATTCAGCTCGGAGAGCAAGGGCCCGCTGTCTTGTCTTGGGCTCAGTGGGACGCCACGTGACTGACATGGCAGCCGAGCCGTCAGGGTGGCTGCACCTTCCCATAGTGGCTTTTCTTGGTGAGCCTCAGTATCCCCAGCTCTAAAATGGACACAACAGAGGGGCACTGTGAATCCCTGCAGGCACCTGGCTTCCTGCCCTTCCCAGTGGTACCCAGCGATGATTCTGCTGGGGCTGATTTCTGGCAGGAAGTTTGCCAGGTAGGGCAGCTCTGGATGGATCTTACCGTTCTCTCTGCAGGAAGAAGTGCTCCGGAATAGCTTCCAGGACCTGGCCACTGAAGTTGCTCCTCTGTACAAGCGGCTTGCCCCCCAGGCCTATCAGAACCAGGTACTGGAGCCTGGGCCTTTGTCTGTCACAAAGATTCCCTGATGCTGGAAAGTGGGGGTGCAGTCTCCTCTGTGTTCTTGAGGAGAGCTCAGTCTAGAGGCCTCTTGGAGCCATTGTGTGCTTCGTAAGATGTGTTGTTTACACAGCCTACCCCTAGCTCCCCATCCCCTCTCCCTGGTTAGCCTCCAGTGCCTCTGGCCCAGATTCCCAACTGTGACCCTTAACCTGCTTCTCGCTGAGACCCAGATCCCAGGTGCAGCACCAGGGCTCGTCCCTTAGGCCTCCTGAGCAGCTGTTCTTGGCCTTCCCGCAGGTGACCAATGAGGAAGTGGCGATCGACTGCCGCCTGGGGCTGAAGGAAGGGCGGCCCTTCTCAGGGGTCACAGCCTGCATGGACTTCTGTGCCCACGCCCACAAGGACCAACACAACCTCTACAATGGGTGCACTGTGGTAAGGAGGCCTGGGTCCAGTGGAGAAAGCCAACTGTGGTCTTGCTCATTATAGGGAGGGATGTAGAACTGGGTTCTCAGGGCCCTAGGTAGCTGGATGTTGGCTGGATGGCCTGCTCCTGCCCCTCCTCAGAGAAAACCCTCGCAGCAGTAGGTGGGCCGGTGATGGATGTATGAGGAACCAGAGCCTATGTGTGCATTTACCGAGCGGTAGAATAACTAAGAGATAGATTGGATATGAAACACGACAGAGCCGGGCAGCGGTGGTGCACGCCTTTAATCCCAGCACTTGGGAGACAGAGGCAGGCAGATCTCTGAGTTCGAGGCCAGCCTGGGCTACAGAGTGAGTTCCAGGACAGGCTCCAAAGCTACAGAGAAACCCTGTCTCGAAAAACCAAACACACACTGTTGCTGGAGGGCTTCTCTCCAGGTTCCACCAAGCCCCGCAGTCCCACAATCCATGTATAAAATAATCACTCAGACACATATATTACTTATAAACTGTATGCCCATGGCAGGCTTCTTGCTAACTGTTCTTATATCTTAAATTAACCCATTTCTATAAATCTATACCTTGCCACATGGCTGGTGGCTTACCGGCGTCTTTACATGCTGCTTGTCTTGGCGGTGGCTGCAGTGTCTCTCCCCCCTTCTTCCTGTTTCCCCAATTCTCCTCTCTCCTTGTCCCGCCTATACTTCCTGTCTGGTCACTGGCCATCAGTGTTTTATTTATATAGAGCGATATCCACAGCAACACACACACATGAAAGAGTCCTCCTTGAGACGCCTGCTAAGCTGCATAGGTTGTATATAGAGCAGGCAGGAGAGAGAGGATTTGGAGAGTGTGAGTGGATCTCCAGAGGCATGAGTGTGCTGGAGAAGAGGGCCCTCAGGGCTGACTGAGGTGGAGACCCCTCAAGAGAATGGTGCTGGTGCTGTGCTCGCTTTTTAACTGGGCTGCAGAGATTGGGGAGGCTGGAGAGAAGGCTGGGGCCCAGACCTGAAGTGCTAGAGAGGGCAGGCCCTCTAGGATAAAGAGCTGGAAGATGGGGACACTGGGGAGCAGGAAGGAGCAAAGCACCGGGCGGTCACCTGCCCTCCCAGCGCCTGTGGTCTTTACTAAGATTAGCAATTGGTAGCAAACTTCCTGAAAGTTTTCCTGTCTTAAGATTTGTATATGTGTGCAAGCAAGCAGGTCTGCACATGTGCGCAGCTGGGCATGCACATGCATGTGAGGGCATGAAGGCCAGAAGCCAGCCTGTGGTGTTCCTCAGGAGCTGTCTGCCTTTGGAGGTTTTAGTGTTATTTTTAAGTCAGAGTCTCTCATTGGTACCGGGAGCTGGGCAATTAGGCTAGGCTGGATGGCCAGTAAGATGAGATCCACTTCGGCTTGGCTTTTCAGTGTGGGGAGTTCCTGGAGACTGAACTCGGATCTTCCAGTTTGCCATGTGCCTCATCCCCTCATCATAAAAACTTAGAGTTGGGACTTGGGGATGGGGCTCAGCAGTTAAGAGAACTTGCTACCCTTCAGAGTTTTTCTCAGCAAACCATTTCAGGTGGTTCACAGCCACCTGTAACTCCAGCTCCAGGGAATCTGATGCCCTCTTCAGGCCTCTGTGATACACATGGTGTACATTCACAGGGACACACACACACACACACACACACACACACACACACAAATTTTAAAAAATTAATTAAAAAAGAAAAACAAATTGCCAGATCATGGTGGCGCATGCCCTTTAATGCCAGCACTCAGGAGGCAGAGGCAGGCCAATCTGAGTTCGAGGCCAGCCTGGTCTACAGAGCGAGTTCCAGGACAGCCAGGGCAACACACAAAGAAAACCCTGCCTCGAAAAACCAAAACCAACTCGTCTGAAATCTTGTAGAGATAACCACAGCCAGCGTCTGGTGGCCACCCCTACTGACAGCCGTGTGTCGACGGCCGTATACAGCGCTATAAAACTCCACCTACACGGATGGGGTCACAGCATGTCTACCGGCTGACCCAAGGCGCGCTCTTCTTAACTAGTGCTACTAAATGTGTGTAAGCTTCATGTGCAGCTCTGATGTCAGCTACGTAACCAGCTCCCCCACGGATGGCCAGGTGGCGACTGCACAGTTCTCATCTGTATGCCATGAGGGGGCCCTGCCGCTCTGTGCAGAAACGGTTTCTTCTGGAGGCCCTGGTGGGCAGTAACAGTGCGAGCTTTTAGTACCTGCTCTGCCTCTGCAGCACTGGTCCTGTCAGTCTCCGCGGTACCTCGTGTTTCAGTGAGGCGTGCCTCTTACACACTGACGGGGCTGACGTCTCCGTAGTATCCTGTGTTTCAGTGAGGTGTGCCTCTTACACACTGACAAGGCTGAATGTCTTTCCCTGTTTCTCCTGCCCCTTTTTAATCGCATCTCTGAGGATGTCCCCTTTATGTCCTCTGCTTCCTTTTTAATCGTGACTGTGGGGTCTGACATGCGTGAGGTTTCTTAGGTGTGTTGGGGACAGAGGCAATTCTTGCCGTGTCTCTCTTTGCTGTATTTGACCTTTGCTCTGTTGTTTATCGCATGGGGTGTAAGAAGGGAAGTGCAAGGTGGAGGGCAGAAGTCAGGTCAGTGGAGGCAGTCTGAAGACTCTGGGAAGGACCAGCTGGGGAGAGCGCCACCAAAGGCGGGCGTGAACAGAGAACAGTCGAGAGTCAACCCCGCGATAGTGTGAAGCCTCTGTTTGGTACATAAAACACCACAGTGAAAATGGAAAGAGCATACGAAATGGACAACTCAAGTGACCTTTGACTAAAGAAAGCTGGTCCAGAATAGCAGTGGGATGTTGTGTGGAAGCGTGTGTGGGTGGGCATGCATGACACAGGTCAGCAGTGGGATGTTGTGTGGAAGCGTGTGTGGGTGGGCATGCATGCCACAGGTCAGCAGTTGTATGTTGTGTAGAAACGTGGGTGGGTGGGCATGCATGCCACAGGTCAGCAGTTGTATGTTGTGTGGAAGCGTGTGTGGGTGGGCATGCATGCCACAGGTCAGCAGTTGTATGTTG